ACACTTTCATTTTCATTCTATTTCACCTAACTTATTCCCATCTTCTAACTGTTTTCAATGCAATCTTCCCGATTCTCCTTCTCATTAGTATCTCTGCTCTAACTATAATCTCTTATCTCAAATTATTAATTTCTCTATTTCAAAAACTATTTTGAATGCCAATCTTGATCTTGCTTCTCATGAACTTAACTACTTAATATATACAATTTCATCCCACTCTTTATTCTCTTTTCATCCTTCTACTCTCTATCCATATTCTCTTCACTCTACTTTCAAAAGCCTTATTCCTTCTCCACTCATCCAATGCATATTATTATTTGACGTATCTTATTTAATAGCTTCACAACTAATTATCAAAATCCTTATTAAAATTTCTAATCAAATCTATAAACAAATATGGAAATCATACTGTATTAACTTTTCTACTTGGAAAAAAGCACACCCAATTCTACTTCTATTCAAGTTAGTCAACAATCCCCTACTCGACTCTATACTAGAACTTATAACACTTTCACTTATAACTGCCCATGTAACTTACCTGATCAACTATATTCTGATTCCTTTTCTTGCCCCCAGCTAGGCTTGCTAAACTTAAATTTAATATCTGGTCCACTTTGTGGATCCAGTTCAGTATTCTCACTAATTATATATTAACTATTCAAATCTAGGTGAGTCTTGACCACTCTAGTAAGTTTAGGTCGCAGATAAATTAGTTTGAGCTTTTATTCTTGTATGTAGTTTATATTTATTCATTTATATATAAATTAAGTCTTCATTCAGTTTTGTTTTTTTATGATTACTTATATAAATTACTTAATAAAGATATGAGCAAGGCCTCACCTTTTAATACCAAAAAAAAAAAAAAAAATTTTATAAAAAAATGTATTTCGTGATGTATTAAAGTCAAAATCTTACTAAGTCAATTAATATTTATAAATTGAAAACCTTTTATTAACTTTCATATAAATGTAAAGCGTGTAGCAAAGTAATAAAAGTTCTTCAGTATACATGAAAATTTCAAAATATATGCAGTCTATTATTTTGGACAACTTATTTAGTAAAATTTTTAGCTTTAATATATGGCTTAATTTTGGTTGCCAGTAAATTCTGATTGGCTAAAGGGCAACAGAATATAATTAACACATGTTAAATAACTTTCTAAGTTATTTGGGTCTCGCAATATACTAAGGTAGCTATTTGTCATTTGAGTCACTGATCTCTAGCATATAACATAATTACAGTATTTTACAATGAGAACAAAACAGAGGCACTAGCAAGATTGGGTTATATGAAAAAGCAACATTTTTTTACTAAGTAAAGGCAGTGCTAGAGTTGCAGACATATTGTTATAATTAATTATAACCTATTTTAAAAACCGGTTTGGCAACTTTTTTATATGAGATAATTAAATTATAATATTATTACGTTAATATGTTTGTACCTTTAGTGATGTCAGAGACTGTGACCATGGGTTACAATCTCAATCTGTGCAATATTTGATCTACCCTATACAGTAGCCAAAATTTTTTATTCTCAAAATAAGCAATTTGTAATACCAAAATACTTGCACCAATGACTCTTAGAATTGAAATCAATCATCTTGGTTTTACTTCAAATGAACTAGTCACTGAAAACATAGAAAAAATAAACATTGTTGTGTCTTTTCTTCCTGATTACATGTGGATGATAAAAAGTGGGATTACTCGAAGTCTTTAATATTCACACCTGGTATGTTACATTCTTGCCCACACTATCCATATTTGCTAATAATACCAAATACTTACTTTTTCTTGTGTTTTTTTTCCTGCTTCTTATTCATTAGCATGCCTAAAAATCACATTTGTATAATCTGTCGCTGGTAAGTAAGTTATAATAATTTGGTTAACACAAGCAAATTTGACTTTTACATTCTCTGCTATTTCATTTTCAGCTTCTGTGAAAAATCTCTTAAATCTTTTTGGCCAGATAGTATGTTTGTTAATATAAAATACTATAATTTCAGCACACTATATTTACAGGAATTTTTTTAGAATGTGTCAGATAGCTCAACACTTGCTACTTTGTTAAGAATCTTGAGAATGCTGTAATCATAAACTTGGAAGTAATGAAAAGAAACTTGAAAATAATAAAAATAAACTTGGAAATAATATATCGACTTATTTCTGTCCAAAGTCATAAGACAAATACTGGTTTTTCTGATGCAAACCTCCATTTATAATAACATATTTTGTATACCTTAGGCTCTATGACATGTGCAAGAGTATACTAGAACATCTACTTTAGAATCGTTGATTAGAAATACTTCCTTAGTAAAAGCCAATCTTAACCTTATCAACTTAGTAAAATTGGTAGATATAAAAATTTAGAAAACTATATAAAAGATTATCCTGCACCAACTGCATTAGAAGAAGTTCAAGATTGGTTTGATAAACTGATAAAAATTCTCTCAACATTTTCAAGTCAACTCTCTGTGGTAGATATACATATGAATACATATCTTGAAGGATATAAGCCAAACTTTAGTATCCTTCATCGGGAAAAATTTTTTAGTGCTGTTCTGTGCAGATTTGCAAAAAAAATTAAATAATAAATTAAATAAAAATCTGTGCAAAACTTCAGACTCACCAGCTATAGCTACAGAAATTAAATACAGTTCTGCGCAAAATTTCAAAATATAAAAAATTTTTGCAGTTTTTTGCAAAAAATTCTGCAAAAATCTGCATTTTCACAGGTTTTTGCAGATTTGTACTTATTTAATTCTCCTGATGTTCTTAATGTAGATACAGTAAATAAAGTCTATATTCTGATATTTGAATGTACACTTCTGAAGATGAAGAAAAGAAAAAGTCCTCATTCTGGGTTGACTGATGAGTATAAAGATCAACTGCTGTATTATATTCAAGTCCTTATTAAGCAGCTACCATTGCATGTACATTTTGCAATATTTCTATCAGATGGGTTTAATTTTATGTAATAGATTATGATAGAGATACTAAACAATATAGTGAGTTTACAACCAATATCCTAGCAGGGATAAACCTTTTTTGGATATAGATCAATGATAAGTCACCTATTACAAGTCTAGTTGGACCTAGGAGTATTAACTTCAGGATGCAATCAGATAACATAAGAATATGTTTAAAGAGGTATTTGAGTAAAGGTGCATCTTCAACAGTATATTTGATTGATTTTGAAAATATTTTATTCACTATACAAACTTTTGAAACTGGTCATACTCTGAATGTTTAGGTGGATGCACTAAATTTTTAAATAGTAATCATATCCAAAATGTTTCAATTTATGTTCTGCATAATAACTATTCAATAATTATTTGCTTGGTCTGTAAACAAATTGTTAATCAATTTCAAGTATCTCATGCTTAACAGCTCCTCTGCCTCTTAAAACACATTCATAGTTATGGAATTTATCACCAAGATGTGCGTCCCGAAAACATTTTATTAGATACTAATAATAATGAGCTTGTTCTTGCTGATTGGGAATCAGCAATCAAATATTCTAATAATATTGATAAAATTGAATATGCAAGAACAATTTTATTTTTTTCACCAAATATTTTAAGCAATAAGTTTGGATTTTATATTCCCAAAGCATCTGATGACTTACATTCTTTTATATATACAATTTATATTTTACTTAATCCATCAAAAAAGCTGACTATTTTCAATAGAAGCCTAGCATTGAAAGCAAAATTAATTAGAGAATACTGGGATGATAAAGTAGATGTGAAACTAGGTAGACCACTTTGAATGAAAATGATCGATATAGCAACAAATGAAGATTATGATATACTGGAGAAATGTTGCTATGTTTTTAAAAATTGCTAATTCATCTGAGGCTGGTATATAGATTAATTAATTATTAATAGAACTAGTAATAAAGTGGTGATATTTTATAGGGTTGGAGCCTTATTTATTAGGTTCTAAATTGTGAAGTTAGTACTATAGCTTATTTAACATCATTGATTATTATAAAATCCAATTCATTAATATATATAAGAGTAGAATGTGTTAATCATCAATATAATAAATATTTCAATTCAGTAATATAGTGGTATACAGTATAATAATGTTTGTTATAAAATTATTACTGTATCCCATATACCCAAATATGCCTTTTGGCAAGTTATCAACTAATCCCAAATATAGTGCTCAATAATTGTGCTACCAAATTTATTAAACATATAATTGGTTGTTAAAATTTCACAATTGTTTTGACAAATTATTATTTCTTTTTATAAAGTGCATTCTGTAATTGCAAAGTGTTAAATCATCAAGTTATGTTTTGCAATATACAATGCTGTGATTAAATATTTGGCAAATTTATAATTGACACACATTAGAAGTAACTATAGCCTTTAGTTATAGTTAAAAACTTAAACTTGAAAAAGAACAAAATCTAGTCTTATTAACAGATTGTAATATGCATAGACTAATCTTACAGGTAAAATAAATTACTTAATTATACAGTACTGTAAAAATTTACTGAATACAATAATTTTATAAAATTTTATTTATATATTTTTCTTAAGTTTAAAATCTCATACAATGTAGACTGAAGGGCAGTGAACTTGAAGTATGCTGAATGACACAAAATATGGAAACTAATCAATATTTGATGGTATACCAATATCTCATTTTTATTTTTTACTCAGCGATATTATTAATTGGAACGAATATTTTTTTAAATTAATTTAAATATAAATCTATCTAATAATCTTTTATTGTACGAATTTGTCCAAAATATCTACATGAAATTTATTTTATCTAAAAATAGATGAAATAAAAGCAGCTTGTATACAAAACACGAGACGCACAGAGTGCAGAAGGCTGAAAAAAAATACGTCCTACCTTTGAAGATTCGGAAATTTACAGTCATTGCAAAAAGCATGAATTCATATGTATCAAGTACATATGTACACGCATAAATTATAGCTTTATTTGATGGCTAAATATTTTTTATTCAGCCGCAACTAGTTTCTACGGCATGCATAGTACGTACATACGTACTATGATATTGTGGCCGAAATATAGTTATTAAATGAAACTATTTCCACGACACTTAAACCTAAAAAAGACGGCCTCCTGGAAAATGGGAAAGCCCTTGTGAAATTGTGAAACACTGGAAGTGTAAACCCTGACGAAATAGAACCTTAATAAATGATGACGTCACTGACAGAAAGCAATGCCTTTAGAAAGTACAAAACTTCTGGAGAAAGAATGAAGCATAACTTTGTTAATTAATATACAAATTAACATAAATAATAAATTACGAATTAGGCATTCTCTGTTTAGAAATCACAAGACTAACATTTATTTTGTAATATTACCAAGTTTCTCAAAGATTAAAAAATGTGGGTTATATGGGAAAAGATTCCAAAATGTAATATAAAGTGATGAGAAATTTTTATTGTTTATTACAGCAAATTTTTAAAACTCTAATGTTAAATGAGAATTCAAATCGAGAATAATTGAGAAAAATTCATTGTTTTGTAGACTTTAGTGTTAACGAAAATAGTAATTCTAATAGCGATATAGTAGATAGCATCAGGTGTGGTCTAAATTTTCCAGAATTAGCAACATTACAGCAAATTTTAAAACTCTAATGCTAAATGATAATTCAAATCAAGATCAATTAAAAAAAAATTCATTATTTGGTACAGACTCTAGTGCAGAGATGGTCTTGCATCATACAATGCAACATTATACAATTCTGCATAGTATACTGTGACATCTCAAAACCAATATCCACGGCGAACAAATATTTGTATCATTATTAAGATTAAAAAGCATAATAAATCATTATGACGGTTTGCAAAACTGTGATTTCGTGATGAGGATAGCAGAAAAATTTCAGAGATTTTAATTCTCTATTGCTGTATTGATCATAATTTCAATCAATAACATTTATATTTTATTCGAAATCTTTAAAATTCTCCAAGAATCGAAAAATCTACTAGAACCAGCTGATTTCTCGTGATTTTACATGACATCATGATCTGCAAACCGCCAAAAATTTATATAGCGGATATTTCTATAAAAATCTTGCCAGTGAAATAAAATGTCTATAAAGCGGTTGTTGGTGAAATAATATAGATTAAAATTACATAATAACTTTTATGCACAATGTTAAATTTTAAGCAACTTGCATCACATAATCACATAATGTAGTACATGCAACATCGTTTGCATAATCTCTACTCTAGTGCTGTAATTCTAATAGTGATAGACAGAGTAGAAAACATCAGGTGCGGTCTAAATTTTTCAGAATTAGCAAAATTACACATATCATGAAACTAGGTAACAAAAAAAAACATGGAAAACGGCTAACAAAAGTGCCATGAATGCGATTTTATGTAACAACAGCCCCAAATTTAATCGTAATGCTAATTAGGTAAATAATTTCGGATGCTGTTGAAAATATGTATTGCAGATAAGAAGAATTCCTTTTTCATTGCAGTAGATTTAAGGCTCTAACATTAAATGGTAATTCAAATTGGTGCCGTTAAAATTCCATAGGTTAAGACTATTTGAAACTTCTGCTTTTAAAAATCCCAAATTCAAAAATAGAATTTACATAATTTACATGAACCAAATATGCAAATTTCATAAATGGCGAAGACTATAATGTTAAATTGGGCGTCGTCAATAAAAACGTTACAGTACCATTAGGATATCCAATGTATATACTATGTATATCAAATTTATGTAGTCCTATGTACTTACGTTCGGTTCAGAAAACTTAGACACTTCAATCATTATAAATAGCAGAGTTTCAGTATGCACTATTAGTTTCATTATAGTTTATTTATTATTCAGGATATATTTATCTAAATAAATAGAATAAGATTTTTAGGTTTCCTGCACTGTACGTACGTACTGTACATACGTACATATGTACTGTACGTGTATGAACTTTGAACAGATAGTTTTTGTATAACGATCACAGTTATTATAGTTTGCAGATCCCTGAATTAATGCGAATCTATTTGTCGCCGGCAGTTACAAAAAAAAACCTCAAAATTTTATGTTAAAATAACTCAAAATTATGCCTATGAAATCAACTTACAAAAAAATTTGCCCGATCGTTCAACAGAACCTGTATTTTAAACTAATTCTGTAGAGCATTTAATTTTCAGTAACATGTTAGAATTAAACGTGACCTATTTTTATCACTATGATAAAATTTGATTAACAACGTAATTCAAATCAAAAAACAAGGCCGGCCTTATCGTTAAATGGTAATTCATATCGACGGAATAGAAAGTCCTTTGCAGCAGATTGTAATTCAAATCGTCGGAATGGAATGTCCTTTACTGCAGATAAGACCTCAAATGGTAATCCAAATAGAATGAAGTAGAATGCAAGAGAGAAGTTCATTGCAGACCTTAAAATAGAAATAGTGATCCGCTATTTCTATAGCTGACAGATTAGGAATTAGCTTGTCATACGTACGTAAAAGATTGAAATTATTATAAATACAGCTTCAGAATTTTGAATTAAACCTCAACTCGAGAAAGTGAGATTTATTTCCTCGATTTAACACTATATACTATAGTAGAAATTTTTTTCTCATCCTACTTCACAATAACAAGAGTTTTATTATTTACATTGTTTTTTTTTATTAAAAAAAAAAAACTTTATTATAAAATGAATGGCAAATACACGTCAATCGAATCAATCCAAAAAGCAGAGATCATTTTTGATTTTAAAAACAAAGATGAAGCGGTTCAATTATTCTCCAAACTTTTACAACGCTGTAGGGATTTAGAAAATGAAAATGAAAAATTGGTTTCACGAATTAATACGATGGAAAATGAAGGCTGAAGATTGAAGCTAGCATCAATAAGCTCAGACAAGAATTTACTGCAATACTTACAGGATTTGATTTCCCTCATGACTTAATTGAGGATGCCAAAGGTTATTTAAAGACGACAAATAAAATTTCTACATATAGAAGTGAAACTACTACATTTAATGGTGATTTAATTAAAAGTGAAACTACTACTACAAATAAAAGTGAAGTTACTACTAATGAATCCGCTCTTAAGTAAATATAAGCTTCTTATTTTTAGTTTGTTTTTTTTTTAAAAATATGGTTTATCTAACTTTTCTTACTGATGTTGTGTAGTAATAGTTTTAGTATCAATAATGCGTTAAAGATACTTCAAAATAAATAATTATTTTATTATATAAGGATAGCTGCGTAGTATATGGGACCAGTATGTATGGTCATATACTATGAATTATGTATGGTCATATACTATGAATTATTAATAGGTTCGGATTAAGTATTGAGTAGTATCTAATGGCACATTTATTTTGTTCATATATGTTATGTAATAAATAGTTTAAGACATAATTGACTATATTTATATTATAATAAAATCTATATTATAAAAAAATCCATCATGTGATTGCAAATCATAATGTTTCTTTTGAAACGACGTACGTACGTTATTTCTCAATCGGTGAAAAAATTAAAAAAAAGTTATATGACCGATAATAAAATATTAATTATATTATAAACGTTCTTTTGCATAAATAAAACAGTCATAAAATTTACTGTACCGTATTTGTGCATAATAGCGGGCCGGGCATTATTTTGACCCACGGCCCGAATTACAGCTGTATTCATAATTCCTGGGACACCTGAGAAAAATTAGCCGAATGATTTTTCGGCCGATCCGGTTAAGTTTTTATTTCGGCATAATAATAATAATAATAAATTCAATAAAAATTGATATTATATGTAATTTAAAATCAGGTGACTAATATACAGTAAAATTATGCATATCTTGTTGAATACAAAAAAAATAATACTTTCAATGTACATCAATTCGAAAATTGCGTTAGTTCATAATCGGACATTCGTTTGATTGGCTGATGTAAATCAATTGCCTGGGTAACTTATTTATACCTTAAAAGTACTTTTTGGGAACGTAACATTTCACTAATAAAAAATCACTGCAAAAGCCATTTTTCACTTCGAAAAACAAAATAATCAAAAATAGTCAGTAACCCTGAGAACTTTACTTAGAAGACAAAGTATGCCTACCGTTTATTGGACCATATTGTAGCGTGAAGGTAACTAGTAACGTTTTCGTCGAAAGCTATTTTATTATGTTAGATTTAGATAAAACTTTTACTTTTAACTGTTTAATTTGAATAGGTACAAGCTCTTAGTAGTAGAGATCTGAACTTAATATTTAAATTTGGTCGGTTCTTGTAGCGCGTTTGGGCTTGTCAACCATATATTAATAGTTGTAGTTTATATATAGTACATAGATCTTGTATGTAGATTCTTTAATGAGTTTGGGTTTATTAGTAATAAATATTATATTTGCCTACTTAACACATATCTATCTATTCTCTAAATATAAGTAATTCATTCTTTTGTATGTATTTATTAGTTTGTAAGCTCCTTATTTGAAGTTTTGTTTTGTTTTCTATTGCAATATTAATAAAATTATGTATTTTGATTGGTTAATTATCATGGGCAATCACGGGTAGATCTACCAAAATTAACCAATCAGACAAATGTCTTACTATGAGGTGTTAGTAGGTCTTCTATAAGTTGAGTACTTGTGTATTTTAAAGATTTTGCTGTATTGAAAACTTCTGTCACTTTCAAGAAAATCATATTCTCTAAACATGAACAATATAAAATATCTTAAAACTTTATAAATGAAAATCCTTACTTATATCTGTATGAATTATAATCTGAAATGGAGCTTTGGTTGGGCTATATATTGACTTGGATATATACACAAAAAGATAATATTTTATATATTTATATCCATCTTTATTTTATAAAATTTATAACAATTTTATTCTATAGATTTCAAATCTCACAAAAAAATAAATAAAGTTGATAGAAATAATTTCATTTTATAAATCTTTCAATATAAAACAAGTAAGTTAGTTTTTTTTAGATAAAAATGCTTATGACAGAATAATGCTATCATGATGCTCTGGCTAGAATTTTTCAGAAATGCATGCTCAAAAAAATATATTTTTTGTTCGAGGATGATTCACTATAGAAAGTGCATTGTTGAATTAATAGTCTTTTATTGTGGTACATTTGGAGTCTATAGAGTAATTTTTAAAAAAGTTCAAAGTTAACAGAGTCATAGGCTTTACTTATATTCTGTGAGAGAAGCCAAAGTTAATTAGATTGGCAGTTAGCATCTTCGATAATATTGTTCAAAATATGGATGGAAATTGATGTGGAATTGCCAAGAAGGGCAAAGGTATTAGTATTTATTATACAATTAACAATCAATTATATATATAAATGATAAATTTAAACATCCCACATTTTGGATACTCCAACATGTTTTAAAATGCCCATATGAACTTTGCACAAAAATGATTAAAAGGGCATATATATGGTAATCTAATCATTTTCATTTTTGTAACCATGATTATTTGAGTATTTGAATTAGTCTCAGTTCGCAATTTTTGAAGCTTAAAAGAGTTTCTAATCTAATATCGATTCTTTGAAGGCTCTAAGTTTGTATTACTAGGATCATGAAATACTGCAATAATAAAGTCATAATCAGTTTGTGAAATTAATATTTTATAATGTTTATTTAAAGTTTTTCCTTTAAGATATTTATTAACCAGGTCATTAAAAACTTATTTTGATATAGAGATGTGAAATGGCTAAACAGCTCTGCTAAACCTTTTAATTTAATACTTTAATTAATTTTGGGTACGTATAGCTTATTAAACATATTGAGATCATTATCTACAGGTTTATATAGGAGAGTTTATACTTCGCTTGGTAGGGTGGAAAAAACAATCGATCTATGTACCATTTTTGATATGGTAAAGAAACTCTGCAAGATATTTCCAATTTTTTTTTTTGAATTTAATGTTACATATTAATTTTACAATCAAATTTATTAAATAAAAAAATTTTTTATCAAACAAGGTTTTAGAAATTGTATAGGAGTTGTCCAGGTGGCCCATACATCTATTAGTTAGATCTTTAATTATTACTACTCGGGTGACTTAAACTAATTCTTAACAAAATATATATATAAATTCGTAAAATAATATAGTACAGTAGTATGCCATATAAATTAAATAGATACCTATCAATATGAATAGAATTAAACATGCCTACTTTAAATAGATATTTTATAAATAATGGGTAAAAAAAAAAAATAATGAATATGGGTAATAGTCTGCTAGCAAGGTTAGTAAAAGATAGCAAGAGTATATAAACCGTGGCTTGTTATATATTTTAATATATATTACCATTACTGTTAAGAATTTTTATCAATTTTTTGTGTTTCACATTTTGTGTAACACAAAATTCTCATGATCTGGAATATTCTGATCTGCATGTCTATACCATAGATGGAGCGATTAGCATTGTTCTAATTTGGCATATCGTCAGACTGTAATAGCTCTTATGTTATACAAGCTAAACCATTTTTAATTAACTCCTACAGGGAGAACCCTTCGGAACTCTGGTCGAAAGGGCCGGAGTTGACCAATTTTGCCCCGAGATCACTAAGAATTTTACTAATGAAACAATAGTCATTCATTAAGTGAAAAGTGCCCAGCTAATAATTTTACTATACACTATAGCTCCCGCTAAACCTAACTCAGCTCTAACCCCAACCCTAACCACGACGCATTCCGGCTATTATGACCCGGAATTTTGGGGATCCCCTGTAGAAAATTTTAAATTTTAAAATTTTAAAATTTTAATTTTATAGCCAAGCTATTTTTTAGCTAAGCCAATTGGAGCTAGCTAAATAAACTACAACTAAGCCATAGTTAACTATCAATTAAAAAAATTATTATTATATATATGTAATGGTTTATTTATTATATAGTTATAGAGCAAGTATTTATTTATACAGAAGTAACAGAGCAAATATCAAACATGTAAAAACTTTTAATGCCTAATAAATTTTGCTAAAAATTTAATAGTACAATAGTCTATGACATTTCATATTTTAGTGATTAGCATTTTGATCGGCTTACGGCTCTAAATCAGCTTACATCACGCAAAGCCGAGCTGCTTGTTAGTTAGCCAAACAGTAAATTGATTGGCTTAGCCGATAAGCTTATAACTTAGCCAAGCCATTTCGTATCTCCATTTTGACATTCTTCTTGGGTTGACATTTTGGGATAAGAATCTTTGCAAAACATAATAATAAATACAATTCAATTGCATTAAATAAATTTCATGATCACTAATACAAGCACTTTGAAATCACTATAAATATAATTCATAATTGCTTGCTTGTATAAAATTCTATTCCCACTTAAGTATTTTTAAGATCCAAAATCAACTTAAGCTGATTTCGAATCCACAAATATCCTATAACCACCTGCAACAGGGTTGCAAGTGGCTATTTGCAAATACCTAAAAGCGGGCAGATTTAATATTCAGATTCATTAATCCATGTTTACAAATGTAGAAAGAAAAAAACATGAGTCAAAAATTAAAGTTTCCTAAACTATTGCAGTATTGCGAAAATATTTTTAACCTGTAAATAATATTGTAACGTCACTAACAAACCATTTTTTATAACATAATAGTATTTATTTATAATAATGAATAAAATAGAAATAAATATAAAAAATAAATATATAATTAAAAAATAGAAAAAAAAACAAGACAAAACTAGCCAATTTTTAAAGCATATGAAAGCTTCTTAAATTTATAATTTTAGTTTTTATTTAAAAGCCGAGCATGTTTTTTCTTTTTCCATTCTTCAATGATCACTTCTTTGATTTTATGTTCACTTTCAAGCCAATTTTGTTTTGCTACGTTAAACATTAGATCAACTTGTTCAGTTGTGTAAACAAAATTTAAAGTATCTGCAAATTTTGCTTTAAGTGGCACAAATGTAGGATCAACCTTATCATTTTTCAGATATGGCAAATGACAAAATACTACTGGAATTGTAGCTTGTAAATTGTGACCAGTTGCTTTACTGTTAGGAATATAGTCATAAATCTCACAATATTTATTAGAAATATCTCGAACTATTTTATCATATCCTCGTCTTTTACAAAAATCATTTTGTTGTTCAACAATCAATTCAGGTTCAATAACTTGAGGTGCTGAATTAAAAGCAATAATTATATCAACCTTTCGACTTGGATTAGTTAACGGATACATCGGAATTTCATTACTAGGTGCTGGATCTAGGATTTGAAGATTTCGTAAACTGTTAATACCAAGTTCATATGGTGGTGGATAAATATGATAAGTAAAATTATGATTATTTGTTGGCGGGAGTGGGTGAATTTTTTCAATAACATCCTTTCCATGTTCACCATGTTTGTCTAATACCTTTGAATATTTTAAATATGTAATGAATAATAATATTAATTTTATTAGTAAATTTATTAATTAGCCTATTGATAAACAAGCATAATGAAAAATGCTAACTTCATTATATGTTTTCATGAATTCAGGTTTTATTTCGTCAGGGAGATACATTTCAAACCCTCGAAGGTCAAACTTTAATGTTCCAGCTGGTGACGATCCTAGCAAACTTTGTGATTGAATAATTATGCAATGTCAATACAGTAATATTTTTACAGTAATATTTATAGCAATAGTTTGTACTTACCCAATTATAAGTCCAAAGTTTTGTTCAGGTATTCTTGAAATGTTTTTCCCAGATTCAAATTTTCGCCCAAATGCCCATGTGGGAATATAAGCTATATTGTAAGAGTTCAAATTAATAAGTTTTTAAGACATTAAAAGTCGTAGATTAAAATGAAATTTGAGGTCTTTCTAAATTTCTAAAAATACACATATTCTCTTTTGCTAATTATCCTAACCTTAAATTCTAACCCAATAAAAAAATGCATCACAAAAAGCTTTATCGAGATATGTTTAAATTAAAGCAAAATTTCATTTTATCTGTTATATAAAATA